TATGTTATTTTTAAAGCTTCATTGCTTATACGGTTTATTATCTTTCTATTTAATTTATTCATGGATGAAAAAGTGCCTGTGTAAAAACATGTATATGTAGAAGAAATACAAAATACCTGAATATAGGTTAATATTACAACTCAAAATGTCTATTATGCATTTTTATTCTTCTAATCCTAAGACATACAATTTAATTATCCTACCACTAAGATGAAGGAACAATGAATTACGTTGTAAACCAGAACCTGATACAAAACTTATATCAAGTATCGATTGTAAGTCTTTCTATGTATAGATTAAATAACATTTCAGATTAAAAGGTTACCGAATTCCGGGGCGGCAGACAAATGGCACTCCTTATCCTAAAAGGGAATTTTCTTCACCTGTCTGATGTGACGCATATAATGGAATTACCTTGATGAGGCACTTGCTCGAACCTGAAAGAAATTATTCTGCCTCCTCGCAAAATCCTTCAAGTCAAATTTTGATGATGGATTACGTGAAAAAGGGTGGTTTTTATCCACTTGTCTTGATTTTGAAGGAAACTTGTATAAACAGATTAGCCCTTGCCCCCATCTGTCTCTCCACTACTTGACGATATGATTTATATGTCAGTTCTTTTTATTGTAATGTTATCAACGCCTTAATTTGATTTTGATGTAAGTTTTGACGTGTTCCAGAGCACACTATTGTAGTGTTCGTTTTGTTATTCAATTTGATGCTAAAATAAATACACATTCAACATAAATATGGATTTACACAAAACTGAAATAAAACAGACTAAATCAAGAGATATCCACATTGGTATCAAGTAACAGTACAGTAGCAGAGTAGGAAGAGCATAAACATCCATTATACTAAGATCGCTTAATGTAAACAAAAGAAAAAATACAAATACATGTTAAAAAAATATTCTGTGTACAAATAGAATACATTTGAACAACTTAGTAAACACCCAGTACTATATTGATCATAATATCTGCATAACGAAATAAAAACTAGTTTTGAAAATAGATATGTATATATGATGAACATAATCTTTAAAAAAGAAACAATTGCGAATATCTAGGTTTAATCAAAAAGGCGGGTATAAATATCGTTTCTTAGTACAAAACCTTAATTAAAAATGAAAGGTTTCCAGTATTGTTCAGCGCATTCCTAAAGTACATGAATAAAAATCATACAACTATCCCAGAATGTTACAGCCGGATTCAGGAATTTTGCAATCAATCCGAAAGGTCTCTCCTGTGATATAATTTTGGTAGGGATATTGATTTGATGGGCTTGTAGAGAACCTAGTTTTAAAGACGTGTGTCGCTAAAACCGTTAGCTATGTGCATATCAGCCGGCATAGTCCCGTTTCTCGATCTGCCTAAAGAAACCATGTTCCTATCATCCACACTCCTTCTGGTCGCCTTGTTGTAGACTACGCTGCTGTTGCCCGTCTCGTGACTCAGGGAAGGATTTCCCCGACTGCGCATACCGTTTGGGTGATGTCCCTGGAATCCTTGCTCGCCTGTCACTGGTCGGTCGTGAAGGCTTCGTCCACTCTGTATCGGATCCGTTCGACTTCGATGCCTACCTGTTGGATCATGTTGAGATGCTGATGAGTGATGCCCTTGTAATTCCATCTGTTGAGATCTCTCTTGCATACGAGCCTGTAAATTGAAGTGTACAAATCAGTAGTAGAAGTCTAACATTGCAAGATAAATTCAATTGCTGTTCTAGTTTTGGAAATCGATAGAAGTGAATTCACTGAGGTATGTTGACGAAGCCTCTGGATTGTCATTTGAGATGTCCTGAGTTCGATCCTTGCTCGGTTCCTAAATCCTTTGACAACGTGTTTTGCCCACATGTGATATTGCATCATCCATCTCAAAATAGAACAAGGCACTTGCAACTCCCAAAGCTAACTAACAGAAATATTAATAATGTACAGAAAATACAAAACTTGCACTACAGAGGTTAGTATGATATGTGATAACTTAACCGTTACTGATTTGCTAGTTAAGGAATGACTACTTGCATTGATTTCTTTACTGAATCGAAGGCCCATAGCGCTGTTCTGGAAGGTATCTGGGTCCTGATGTTGGTGTCTCCTATCTTCTGTGAAGTACAACTGCTGCATGCCATTTTCATATCGACGAGCTTTCATTTCGTAATGAAACGGTCTCTTTTGATACCCTTCCAGTTTGTGGAGACGAACACGATAGTAAACGACGAGGACGACGAAGAAGACGATGAAGAGGAGGATGAGAATCGCGATGGGCACTAGGATAGCAAGGAGTACGACGTTAGAAGAGTTAGAGCATTGAGGCCCGGAGTATCCACTGGCGCAGCTGAAAATGAAGATCATTCGCAAGATTAAGTTTTACACCGCATTATTTCAAATTTTAGAGTAAAAAAACTATTATCTACTTTCTTCTAGTTATTTGTTCACGTTTGGCAAAGCATTCAAATCATATTTACACAGTAGCATAAACGCAATTTAAAAGCACTCTAATGTAATATAGAAGGAAGAATGCTTATATACTGTTAAATGGTTATATGGTTAAATGATTAACAAAATACAAGCAAATTTTATCGCACTCACAATCAGGCACGTAGCCACGAGGGGGGGGGGGGAACAAAATTTCCAAGATCGGTTGAACTTTTTTAGACGCCTTTTTTTACCTCGATCGATTACATGTATGTGCCCCCTAAACATCAAACTCTGGCTACTTGCCTGCTCACAATCGGCATAACAGATTTAAAACAACTATATCAATGCGTTTTTACAATATATCCATTTAAAGTAAGTATAAAGTATGTATATTACATTGTCGATCCATTCGAAAACTCCATTTAACAAAAAGAGTATATTTATTAACCATTCTTACTTGATTTCAAATTAATCTAGTTTTGTTTATACATATTACATTTGATAAAGTATTTATGACTTTAATGAATATTACAATCCCTCGAAACATTTCTGAGCTCAAACATGCCTTTATTTAATTTGTCTTTGAATATCAATATTAATTGAATGTCCGAAAATATGAATAATTGTTGTCATTATTTTGGACAAAATACAATTATTCCTTAATACAATCATGGCAGAATTAAAAATTGAAATACTAGTGACGGCGACATGTTAGTTATTTCTATCGCAATGTGGGTTAAAATTGAGGAAAATCAATATGGGACAGATGTCGTTATACCTCCAGGAACATAGAACGTTCCTTGGACGTTAATTCTTTATGCGCCACCTTCTTTGTCTAAATAGGTACGTTTAACAAAATCTTTAACTTTATTTCAGGACTTGGAGTATAAGATTACTCCTTATAGGTGATAAAAAGGCTGTCATGTAACCGATCAAGACCAGAAGTTTACTAAATGTTCCTTTTTTTAAATACTTCCCGATAACGCTTTCTGTTTCCTGGGTTTGAATTTAATCATAACTAGAGAAACACATGAATAAAAAGACTTACACGCAAGTGAAATCAAAAGTGTTATAGTCAACCCTGCACTCGCCGTTGTTCTTGCAGGGTGTGGGGGAACAAAGTGCGTCCAGATCTGTGAGGAATTAACATGCCGACATATATTTAGGCCTATATACCGCATACAATAACTGTGAAACAACTGACAGTGCGTTTTGATTGATTAATCTGATATTCAGTTTGAACGAATTGTGTGGAAACGAAATCAAAATCAAATGATGTGGTTTACGACGTACGTACACTTTTGCAATTTGTGTACGGATATTCCGAAAAAAAGATTTGGGGCTTATCTTCAAGCTGCTCTCTTTTAAAAATATCTTGCCGTTCATGGCATTACCGTTTTTTTGTATTGAATGAAAGGGAAAAGGGGAATTATATGAATATAAATGTAGGTAAATAAACTTAAGATATTTTGTGTACCTGGGTCTGAATTTTCAATTTAGTTCCTACTCTTTAATGGTAGAATAACCAGAATTATTGATGGTAATAATTCATCCAAACATGAAAGAGCATTCAACATTCTCACAGGAAAAATGAAAAGCAAAGTGTTGCTAGAAAGTACACCAAGAGTATTATACATAGACTTAGAAATACAAAATAATGTAGGCTTATGCTCCCTACCTGTTACATCAACTGAAACAACGCTGAATTCATCCACTGCTAGAAGAGCTTCTTCGATCTGTTCTATCAAACTTTCAACAGTTACATCTGACTTGTACATAACGCCTATGAGTAAGTTCATTTGCATCTCGCCGTTTGACAAACTCTGAGCGTTGATGGTTGTCACGTTAACAAGATATGTTGTAGGAATCCCGAGTATTGCCGATTCAAACAGGTACAGTTCACGCGTTGGAAGGGAAAAGAAAGAGAGAAGACGTGTACAATGTCATTACACCGTATTAAATTATGTTATGAAATTATGTTAAATTAAGAACATGCATTGTCTTTTAGGAAGTTTACCAAAGCGATTTCCGTAAGCAAAATTTCGGTCTAGTGCTCCTTCTACAAAATAGTCAGAAGGCCGTCTAAACCCTACAGCCCACGAAACAGACAACTTCGTGGAGAATTCACTTTATAACTGACATTCTCGATTTCGTGTGATGTCGGTCTCGTGTGCTGTAGGCAGTGGCGGATCCGGGGGGGGCCGGGGCCCCCCCCCCCCCCTTGAGAAAAAAATCATGTAAAATCACGCGATTTTTACCTTTTGGGGGGGTTATGCCCCCCCCCCCTGGCACTCAAGGGGGGGGGGGGGTGCAAATGTTAAAATTTTCGAGGACCAAAAAAAAAAAAATGTGCTCACTACCCCCCCCCCCCCCCCCCCCCCCCCCCCCCACTGAGCGACTTTTCGGCCGGCGCGATTTTCAAATTTTCGGGAGCAAAAAAAAAAAAAAAAAGTTGGGCCCCCTCCCCTAAGAAATCCTGGATCCGCGCCTGGCTGTAGGTCTCGTGGGCTGTAGGTCTCGTGTGCTGAAAGTCTCGTGGGCTGTAAGTCTCTTGGGCTGTAAGTATCGTGTGATGTTGGTCTCGGGTGGTGTAGGTCTCGTGGGCTGTAAGTCTCGTGGGCTGTAAGTCTCGTGTTATGTCGGTCTCGTGTGCTGTCGGTCTCATGGGCTGTCGGTCTACTGGGATGTCCCGGACATGAACTTCTTAGATAATTGCAACTAAGTATCTTACCGTTTCTATGACTGTTAGAACATATTGATTGTCCAAGGGCAAAGTTTCGCGTTTTTTTCTTTGTACGGTCATGACTGTGGTACTTGAGCCTGCATCTGTTCAAAAGTTGGGATAAATGTAATTCCAATATTCAATTTCACAATAGACATACTCCTGCTTCACAACTATGTAGGGTGAATTCGTATTGATGAGTCATATCCCAGCCATATAACTTGCGCCCAAATCAAGTTTAATTCCTGTTCGTTAATTTTTCAAAACTACCGTAAATAACAAATAACCGATTTACATCGGGTATTTAAGCAAATTATTATGCCCATATCATTTTCATTCTGCATTTCAAAAATATAAACAATTCTCCTTCTTGATTTCATTTGACAGATTATGTTATTTAAAAGAGTGAGATAATCATATTACTGAGTACGTGGTAATCTGACAGTGAAGGAGTCCCGTTTCAAAGAGCTCCCAGGCTTAAACCATAAGGCATTAATCGTCAAGTACATAGTCCCTTGGTTAGGACGTTTCCTTTCGCATTGTATTTATTTCCACGAGAGTTGCCAAAGCTTTTGTATAGGTTATTTCCTTAAATATGTTATATATACATGTATTTGAATTGCCAAAATTCATATGAACGACATTGATATCCAGAGTGTTCCATCCCATCATCATCATCATCATCATCATCATTATACCAAATTGATTTAAATGTATATCAGGAATAATCAATCTTCTTTTACCAGGTTCTGTCGGTGAGGGGGTTGATACGTTTCCAACCGTGACAATTGCGCCTGTATCTGTTCAAAAATTTGGATAAATGAAATTACAATATTCAGTTTCACAATAGACATACCCCTGCTTCACAATTGTGTACGGTAAATTCATATTGATGTGTCATATCCCAGCCATTTAACTTGCGCCCAAATCAAATTTAATTCCTGTTCGTTATTTTTTCAAAACTACCGTAAATAACAAATAACCGAATTACATCGGGTATTTAGGCAATTATTATGCCAATATTATTTTCATTCTTCATTTAAAAAAAAAAATCTCCTTCTTAATTTCATTTGACAGATTATGTTTTTAAAAGAGTGAGATAATTATATCGATGAGTACGTGGTAATCTTACAGAGAAGGAGTCCCGTAACAAAGAGGTCCCAGGCTCGAAACCATCAATTAAACCATTAGTACATTGGTTAGGACATTTCCTTTCGCATTGTATTTATTTCCACGAGAGTTGCCAAAGCTGTTGTATAGGTTATTTCCTTAAATATGTTATATATATATATATATACATGTATTTGAATTGCAAAAACAACGGGGACCCCATATGAACGACATTGATATCCAGAGCGTTCCATCCCACAAGTGGAAAATAAAAGAATGGAATAAAAGAGATAACTTTGAACTTGAAATTCTTACTTATACATGTAGGAAGTACTTCACTCCATGATCCCGTAGCGTTACACGTGACATTAAGAACACGGGCGTTACCAGTTTCATTGCAATTGAAGTCACAAATTGTCAGAGGTGAGACGCTCCCCTTACAGGTCGTATAATTAGTTACATCCAACGGCACTGTACATACTATCGCTAAAAGATTATGAATGTTAAGCAGCAAATTATTTTAACGACATTCGTGCTGACCAGGCTCAGATGCCACAGGTGGAAATTAAATGAATTGCATTTAAGAGTAAAATAACTTTGAACTTAAACTTTGAAACGTTACACTTTGTTCATTTGCTGTTATTTTTCAACATAATGTCATGTATGTCTGAATTAGTGAAAAAAGATGACTAAAAATAATTAGGAAAAGATGATTAAAAAGAATGATCGCGTATCGTGATTGTTAAGGGTCGTCAAAATAGTTGACTAACAGATAAATCTCTAGCTAAAAATCACAATGTGAAAAGCACTTCACGAAAGTTTGTGTATATTGGATATCATTATTCGTACTGTTGTTATCACTATCATCATCATCATTATCATCATCATTAGCATACCAATTTAATTAATTGTATATATCAGGATTGATCAATAATCTTTTACCAGATTCTGTCGGTGAGGGGGTTGAGGATAATGATGATGTAGACATCGGTTCTGTTTGAGGGTTAGAAGCTGAAGTACCGGAAGATGGTACGGTCACTGTGTGAGAAGAACAAAGATAATCTCAGGATTATTATGATATTTCACCATTTATAATTTTGCATTTCTTTTCATGAAACGGATATACACTAAAGATTATCCTATAATTGATTTAATAAGAATAACATAAATATTTGTTTTTGTTTAGCAAAGAAAAAACAAAAATGTACACTTGTATAATAACTTTTGTATACTTTGTAAAATGATTTTTGTAATTTACTTTGTAAAATAAAAATAAAGCTCGAACTTGAACTTGAACTTGAAGTTGAACTAAAATATTAAATTATTTTTAATATCTTACTTTATTTACACAATTATACCAAAAAAAAGGGTTCAAATGCTTAAGGAACGATGGCTCCGGGGTCGAGCAGTCATACTGCTCCGGTTTTCGCCAGCACAAACTTAGGCTAGTTCGCGTATATAGCAGACGGCAATCGGCGGATCAGACGACACTTGATAGTGAGTTTGTATACGAGATTGCTTTGCTAAATATAAATACAACAATCTTTTCCATATCTTTAAACTATCTTTGGAATCTGATAATTAAACAGTTAGTAAACTAAACCTACCAAACTACATAATACAATGAAATACTTGACTGAAAGTTTGATGTGGTGCACAATTGCATCCCTCTGTTAATAATCGAATAGTCCATGGTGTCATGAATATTCATGTTTTTGCTTACCTCGGCAAAATGCTTGCCTATACTAAATGGAAAAAATAAGGTGGGGTGTTGGATGAAATGGACATAATGAACAAATCAGAACTGATAATTCATGCTTCTTATCCTCCGTGTGCTTGACTTATAACCATACAATCGCGTGGTAAATTGAGTCCAAAGTTCGACTTGTTGTACATGTGTAATATAGGCAATGGCGAGCTTGCTACCTATTTTGATCAAATTACGGTGGGTGAACTTTCAAAAGTCAATGGGACATGAGGGTTCCAATGAAAGAGCTAGTGATAAAGTACGTCGGGGTGTATGTGCTTTTCGTTTAAACAAAAAAAAATAACGATTTTTGTTTGTAAAAGTCCATAGGCTAACGCACATGTTAGGCTGCTTGACTGCTGCTTGACTCTGCCGATAGGGGCGTTCTCAGATGAGACTAAACTGAGCTATATGTGTTTTATATTGCTTATTTTGATAAATCTTGTTATGTGAAATTATGAGGAAGGAAATAAAATATCATTTAAAACAAAAAAATATGTGTCTCGTATACCAGAGGTCCAAGGTTCGAATCTAAGTCAATACGCTCATGTCCTTTGGTAAGGTATCTATTCCCATTACCGCGTCCATCGGAGAGGACTTACAGCCGTCACTCACATGGTTGCTTACTTACATGCAGCATACATGCATTCATGGTAGCAGTCAGGTATAACAATCAACATCATAATGAGTATTATTTTCTTTTTTTTTAATGAATTTCATCATGATTATTATTATGATTAATGTATATCATCATCACTAGTATTATCAATTCGTTATCATTATCGTTATGATTATTATTATGATTATTGTTATTATTATTATTGTTGTTGTTATTATTGTTGTAATTATTAATATTATCATGTCTTATTTAGTATAAGCATTAGTATGGTAGTAGAAGTAGTATTAATAGTAGTATAGTAGTGGTAACATGATCATCATTATTATTATTAACATCATCATTATTAGTATTAGTATTATTATCGAAATCATGATCATCATTATTATTATTATTATTATTATTATTATTATCACAATAATTATCACCATCATCATCATCATCATTATACCAAATTGAATTAATTGTATATCAGGAATAATCAAAGAGTGCAACGGCTCAGTGGTAGAGAAGTGGTTCCGTAAACAGAAGGTTCCTGGTTCTAAACCAAGGTAAGGCATTGATCCGTATTAATAATTCCCTCGGAGAGGACTTAAAGTCGCCGGTCCATCGGATGCTTACTTATATGCAGCATACATTATTTTATAGCAATTAGGTAAAGGTCATGATCATCATTATCATTATTATGTTAAATTGATTTGATTGTATATCAGGAATAATCAATAATCTTTTACCAGGTTCTGTCGATGAGGGGGTTGATGATGGTGAAGACGTCGATTCCGTTGGAGTGTTAGAAGCTGAAGTATCGGTAAATAGTAAGGTCGCTGTGTGAGAAGAACAAAGATAATCTCAGGGTTATTATGATATTTCACCATTCATAGTTTGTGTTTTCTTTCTTTTTAATTGGACACACACAACAAATACAAATATGAACTGATTTTGAAAATCATTTACAAAATGACACAAAAAAATGGTGTCAAAAGGAAAATGTGCAACGGCTCAGTGGTAGACAAGTGATCCTGTAAACGATCCCGAGTTTGAAACCAAACTAAGGCATTGATCCTCATTACTAATTCCCTTGGAGAGGACTTAAAGTCGCCGGTCCCTTGGAAGCCTACTCGTAGGCAGCATACATTATTTCATAGCAATTAGGTAAAAGTCATGATCATCATTATCATTGTTGCGTTAAATTGATCGCTATCTAAATATTGTTATCATTATTATTTTTATTACTAGTAGTAATAGTAGTAGTCGAAGTAGTATATAGTAGTAGTTTCATGGCCATCATAATTATTACTTTTATTATCATTAACATCATATCATCATTATTATTATTATTGTTATCATTATCATCATCATCACCATTATGCCAATTTAGTCAATTGTATATCAGGAATAATCAATAATCTTTTACCAGGTTCTGTCGATGAGGGGGTTGATGATGGTGAAGACGTCGAGTCCGTTGGAGTGTTAGAAGCTGAAGTATCGGTAAATAGAAAGGTCGCTGTGTGAGAAGAACAAAGATAATCTCAGGGTTATTATGATATTTCACCATTCATAGTTTGTGTTTTCTTTCTTTTTAATTGGACACACACAACAAATACAAATATGAACTGATTTTGAAAATCATTGACAAAATGACACAAAAATATGGTGTCAAAAATAAAAAGTGCAACGGCTCAGTGGTAGACAAGTGGTCCCGTAAACAGAAGGTCCCTGGTTCTAAACCAAGGTAAGGCATTGATCCTCATTACTAATTCCTTCGGAGAGGACTTAAAGTCGCCGGTCCCTTGGATGCTTACTTATATGCAGCATACATAATTTCATAGCAATTAGGTAAAGGTCATGATCATCATTATCATTATTATGTTAAATTGATTTAATTGTATATCAGGAATAATCAATAATCTTTTACCAGGTTCTGTCGATGAGGAGGTTGATGATGGTGAAGACGTCGATTCCGTTGGAGTGTTAGAAGCTGAAGTATCGGTAAATAGTAAGGTCGCTGTGTGAGAAGAACAAAGATAATCTCAGGGTTATTATGATATTTCACCATTCATAGTTTGTGTTTTTCTTTCTTTTTAATTGGACACACACAATAAATACAAATATGAAATGATTTTGAAAAACATTTACAAAATGACACCAAAAAATGGTGTCAAAAGGAAAAAGTGCAACAGCTCAGTGGTAGACAAGTGATCCTGTAAACGATCCCGAGTTTGAAACCAAACTAAGGCATTGATCCTCATTACTAATTCCCTTGGAGAGGACTTAAAGTCGCCGGTCCCTTGGAAGCCTACTCATAGGCAGCATACATTATTTCATAGCAATTAGGTAAAAGTCATGATCATCATTATCATTGTTGCGTTAAATTGATCGCTATCTAAATATTGTTATCATTATTATTTTTATTACTAGTAGTAATAGAAGTAGTCGAAGTAGTATATAGTAGTAGTTTCATGGCCATCATAATTATTACTTTTATTATCATTAACATCATATCATCATTATTATTATTATTGTTATCATTATCATCATCATCACCATTATGCCAATTTAGTCAATTGTATATCAGGAATAATCAATAATCTTTTACCAGGTTCTGTCGATGAGGGGGTTGATGATGACGAAGACGTCGATTCCGTTGGAGTGTTAGAAGCTGAAGTATCGGTAAATTGTAAGGTCGCTGTGTGAGAAGAACAAAGATAATCTCAGGGTTATTATGATATTTCACCATTCATAGTTTGTGTTTTTCTTTCTTTTTAATTGGACACACACAATAAATACAAATATGAAATGATTTTGAAAATCATTTACAAAATGACACCAAAAAATGGTGTCAAAAGGAAAAAGTGCAACAGCTCAGTGGTAGACAAGTGATCCTGTAAACGATCCCGAGTTTAAAACCAAACTAAGGCATTGATCCTCATTACTAATTCCCTTGGAGAGGACTTAAAGTCGCCGGTCCCTTGGAAGCCTACTCATAGGCAGCATACATTATTTCATAGCAATTAGGT